GGCTAGTGGGATGTATCAATGTTAGTGGACTACTGATGGAATTTGAAAAGAGATATCCCTGAAAGTGATTACAAAAGACAAGTGAAAAAAAGAAGAGAAAGTCTTCATTAAAAAATGTTATAATAATTTGGTATTATTTGTTAATTCTCAATTTCATGTAAAAAGTTACAAAAACTAAATAAATTAATGTTTTTTTGAAATAAATATAGTTGAGGTTCTTTGACATTTTACTTAAATTCATAGTATCTAATATTTGCAATATTTTGAAACCAGAGCTAATTTTAAAATTTTATTTGTATATTCGTATTCAGTGACCCCAAATGAATATAAAAACATAGCATTTATTTAAAAGGCACACAAAAAGTTCGATTTTGTAGACCAGAGTAATTAGTTATTCTAGCTGTCAATGTAATTATTTTTAGGTAATTATATTTAAAAAATTTTTGTATGCATATGTTAAATATAATTTAATACATTCTATAATTTCTTACACAGTTTTTACCAATATACATAATAAAATAAGGACTGAAGAGGGGCATAGACCCCAATATGCATATCTGTTCTAAATTATAGAAAATAAATTTGAAATCCTTTTGATGGAAAAAGTAGTTTTTCCATCAAAAGGAGAGTTCCTGTATAATTTGTATGAACTTTATACTAATTTCCAAAGAACATACAAAATATATTTCTCTTAGTAACAAAAAAAAATAGTTACTTTTGCTAACTTTTGGAACATAACCCTATGTTTTGCATTAGTCCTTTGTTTTATATAGCATGGATTTGTATAACATGGTACTTTTTTGGACCATGTTATATGAGGGATACCTGTATATATAATTTTTGCTTTTACAAGTTTAAATTAATGTTTTAAGACATATTTTATGATATAAAGCAAGTTTGAAGAATAAAAATACATTACAAAAATAAACGACTTCCAACAACTTAACACTGCGTTGAATAATAACAATTCACGAAAAACCTTTTTACGAGTGTTATGTCACTAGTAAATTCCACAAGTACTTTCGACCTCCACCGAGGTCTGCTTCAGGTGGTGACTGGCCGTGTTTCGACCCGACCGTCGTAACGATGTTGCCAACGATGTAAATAATTAAATGTGTGCGTCGGGTTTCACCCCTCCGACTGACACTGTTCGAATTCCTCAAACAAGTACTTCCACGCCTGTGCAAGCGTTTNCGAGGTCTGCTTCAGGTGGTGACTGGCCGTGTTTCGACCCGACCGTCGTAACGATGTTGCCAACGATGTAAATAATTAAATGTGTGCGTCGGGTTTCACCCCTCCGACTGACACTGTTCGAATTCCTCAAACAAGTACTTCCACGCCTGTGCAAGCGTTTCCCCATCCTTGTAGTTGATGCAGTTGCCCCCCCCTGATAGCTTTATGAATCTCCCAGGCCTCCAGGTGACGGATGTGATCCGCGCGGAACGCTTGTCTGATAAGTCTGGTGTTCCAAAAGTTTGCCCTTATTTCAGGGTCGGTGACATAGGTCGATAAGGCGGTGGTGTGTCTTTTATGTTTAATATCAGCTTGGTGTTCACGTATTCGTTTCTGTGTTGACCGGATGGTGGAGCCAATATAAACTAAGTCCCTATTGAATCTGTCGTCCCGGATGGGAATGGAGTAAACACCTGGGGCCCCGGTGAGATCCATTGCGTCGCACAGCAGGTCGTAAAGCGTGCCAGTTCTTAAGTACGCGATTTTGGTGTGGCTGTTGCTAACGATCTCCCTATATAGGGGGTCTAAATGCTGGTTGAACCGGATGACCGCGCATCTAGCGTTCCTATCTGGTTGTCAGTTGTTGTCCGGCGATGGTAGGGGGCAGTCCCTGCGGCGCGGGGGGCAATGGACGCATGCACGTGCTAAACCGCGGATCATGGCTTTACTGTAACCATGTTCAACGGCAATTTTTTCTATGCGACGGATCTCCAACCATGCGTCGCGCACATGTGTGTGGTGCGTGAAGGCCTGTCTAGTAAGGGCCCGGAAAGCCGCAATTTTGTAGACAAAGGGGTCGGATTTTTTGTTGTGTATGAACGACAATACGTACGGTCTTACCCTCGGCTTGGATCAGGTTAGCAACTCGAGTGCACATTTTCTGGATGTTAACATCCGTCTCAGGGGGACAAGATAGAAACGAGCGTTTACCATAAACCTGACCAGCTCCCGCTGTTCATCCCCGCGAACTCTTCTGACCCCTTTGTCTACAAAATTGCGGCTTTCCGGGCCCTTACTAGACAGGCCTTCACGCACCACACACATGTGCGCGACGCATGGTTGGAGCTCCGTCGCATAGAAAAAATTGCCGTTGAACATGGTTACAGTAAAGCCATGATCCGTGGTTTAGCACGTGCATGCGCCCATTGCCCCCCGCGCCACAGGGACTGCCCCCTACCATCGCCGGACGACAACTGACAACCAGATAGGAACGCTAGACGCACGGTCATCCGGTTCAACCAGCATTTAGACCCCCTATATAGGGAGATCGTTAGCAACAGCCACACCAAAATCGCGTACTTAAGAACTGGCACGCTTTACGACCTGCTGCGCAACGCCAAGGACGCGATGGATCTCACCAGGGCCCCAGGTGTTTACTCCATTCCCATCCGGGACGACAGATTCAATAGGGACTTAGTTTATATTGGCTCCACCATCCGGTCAACACAGAAACGAATACGTGAACACCAAGCTGATATTAAACATAAAAGACACACCACCTATGTCACCGACCTTATCGACCTATGTCACCGACCCTGAAATAAGGGCAAACTTCCGGAACACCAGACTTATCAGACAAGCGTTCTGCGCGGATCACATCCGTCACCTGGAGGCCTGGGAGATTCATAAAGCTATCAGGGGGGGGGGCGACTGCATCAACTACAAGGATGGGTAAACGCTTGCACAGGCGTGGAAGTACTTGTTTGAGGAATTCGAACAGTGTCAGTCGGAGGGGTGAAACCCGACGCACACATTTAATTATTTACATCGTTGGCAACATCGTTACGACGGTCAGGTCGAAAACACAGCCAGTCACCACCTGAAGCAGACCTCGGTGGAGGTCGAAAGTACTTGTGGAATTTACTAGTGACATAACACTCGTAAAAAGGTTTTTCGTGGATTGTTATTACAAAAATATTTATTTGAATGAATAAGGTATCATTATATTTTCAATAAAATAACCTAAGTTATAATTTAAAATAAAAAATTAAATATGATTTAACTTCTATTTCAAAAGCTAAAAGATATTCTAAATAAACATTTATAAAGAAAGAGTAATATTTAAAAGACCCGAGTACCATAATATAATAATTCTTTTGCATATTCCTAACAAATGTCTTGAATGCACAACAAAAGATCATGTTTTGTTGTGTATTCAAGACATCTTAGTATTTTGTAAACCAACCAATACTAATTCTCTCATATACCTGTATTTATTTTCAGTTATTTCACCATCAGTTTTAAGACAGGTCAACTGGCCTTTATTGTCATTCTTATAATTACTTTTTGCCTAACTTGTACCAATAAAAAAGATGCTACATATCACTCGAAAAGACATTTCTCACAATCTTAATCCCGACATCAAAGTATCTAAGTTCCAGAAGGAGAAGCAACTTTAGATTTGATATGTTACACTCACATAGATATGTTACACTCACACCATGGTGTGGTCTCAGACCACTCTAATTTTTAAACTCATTAAATAGTAAAATACTGATCTAGAAATAGCAAGCATAATACTCAACTGCTTAGTACACACTAACTTAAAGATACATGAAACTACAAGCATTTAACTTTATACCAGTGACAAATCCTGCATGAACGAATGTGAAGAGTAGTCTACAAGGCCACATGACGATGGATAAGAGTTAATAAATAAAGCATTCATCACTAAGAAAATTGAAATACAGGTATCCATAATTCAATTCTTCTAGTGACGAATGTTATATAATGCATATATTTAAACACTAAATTATTTGGTATTTAATTAATAGTTATATAATGCCCTATGATGACCAAGACAAAACCTTTCTCACTTGTTTCTAGCCGTTTATACACGAGTATGAATATTTTCAGCCTTCTTCAGATACACTGTATAAACATGTATAAACAGCTAGAAACAAGCGAGAAAAGTTTTGTCTTGGTCATCTTAAAATAGTTCTAGCTCCAAATGCATAGAAGTATAATGCCCTATGAAAAAACTTTATAGAATACTTTATAAAAAGAATACGATACTATTAGCACATCATTTAAATGCAAGTAGTGAAACTCCATCGACATTTTCAAATAAATAAATACAGTATAAACATTAATTTTCACTTAAATGTACCAGTAAAATTAAAATTATACATTTAACGAAAACAAATAAACAAAAAATTGCTTAATTTTGTAAACTAAATAAAATTAATTGAATAACGATTTTGGATTTATTTCAAATCATCCTTAGCTTGCAATTTAGATTTATAATAATATGGTAAAAAAAAAAAACAAAAATTAATTCATTGCATGTATAATCTAAGTTTTCCCTATAACCGTGTTGTAACATTGCTCAGTATTATTATTGCTTGACTTTAAAATAGAAAAATCATTAATTAAAAAATTTTGCTTATTTTGAATTTCTTGAGTAAGATTTTGATTTCAATTCTCAAATTTCTATTGAAACAACTCATAAAATGCTGTTTACTAACTTTCAAAAAACCAATAGGCCTAAATTGTAATATTTCTAATTTGTAATAGGCCTAATATCCTGTGTTTCTACCTTCCAATGAACTGTGCTTCTACATAATAAAAGCTGAATAAATTCAAAAACCATACTAATGATTATTTATGCATTTAAAACATCAAAATAACTTTTAATGTAATTTAATAAACCATTCATATGGTGAAAGAGTGAATACTTGAGTTTAAAAGTAAACATTCTTCTTATATAATGTTGTTGTTATCAAGTTACAAAATTATATTAAGCCTGACTATATATATATAATTACCTTTTATGTAATTTATTCTTATAATTTAAAGCCGAATTTTAATAGTAATAATAGTAAATAAAAAAAATTGCAATTAATGTTTAGTCTTCCCTGTTTTCGTAATTCATGACGTCTATTACATGTATTATTAAAAGTGATCAAAATAGTTATTTGTTTCATTGTATTTATTTTATCCTTCCGGCTTTAAATTATTTTATTAAAACCGATTTATTTTTTTAATTTACGAAAAGAATAAAAATTACTTATTGCAAAATAAACAGCTAAACAATGACGCAATTTTTTTCATAACATCACGTGGTCGAGTTGACTCATCATCCCCAATCTTATATTATCTCGTGTCAAATGACGTAATCGAAATTGACGTAATACTCTATTAGATAAAACGTAACTACTTGTTTACAGTATTTACATATATATAATTTTTTTATATTTTTATTTTAAAAAATTTTTAAGATATTTATTTCTTAATATAATTTTCTGCATATTTTATTCGATAAAAGAATATTTAATATTTTGAAGTTAATTTCCGCAAAAATTCTATTGTTTAAAAAGTAATAATAAAAAACAAAATGACGCAAACAGCTGAGTTGAAAACTTGTTTTCCTATTTGTTGCCAGATTGTGACGTCATAAACCAAGACCAGCTAAAACAAGTCAACAAAAGAACATAAACAAAATCGTAGTTGACAATTAAAACTTTATTTTCTCTTGAAAAGTTACTGTTTTGGTTTATGTTAAATATCTTTGTTATTAAATTAAGCATCTAAGTTGTTTATATTTCATCCAATTTATTTATTAAAAGGTAAGTTTATTGTCATATATAAAATTTCAATTGATAAATGATTTTTTGTGGTATATAAAATTTCCAGTTATTATTAAATAATGCATATAATTTAATTTTAAATTTAATTCTTGTCTTCTTCAAATACATCAAGTAAAAATTTTAAAATTTTTATTAAGAATTGATGTGAATTTATATTTATGTATTTAATCATTTTTGAATGAATATTTTTGACTTTACACTAGTTTATTTAGTTGGGAGCAATAAAGAAACCTGTTGTTGAATTTTTTGTATTGTTACAATATTCCAATTATTATTATGTCAATAAAATGTAAGACGCAAAAACCATTACTATTGCAGCAGTTTATAAAATACACTTATCGCAACAAAACTGTCAAAATATTCTTTATCAGATTTGATAACGCTTCTTTATTTATTTTTTTTTTATTCTTTGATACTTTTTCAATCAATAATTTTTGTAAAAAAAACACATATCTTTTTTAATATATTAAATAATATAAGGTATAAGGATATATTTTTCTTTTATATATCCTATTGTAACTTTTGTAACTGAGATTCCATTAGCTAATAACAAAGGAAAGCATCAAAAACAGTAATGTATAAACTTTGTTTCAATGCCGTGATTATTTAATAATTAATATAAATTCCAGATATGTACAGTACAGTACTTTGCTTCAAGTTTACTTTTAGAAGGAAAAAACAGCATAACTATTTTTTTTTAAACAAAGTTTTTAAATGTTTAAAATTTCTATATTTGTTCATTACTGGTTAAAAATGTTAAATTGTGTGATTTATTTTATTGTAAATGAAAAAATGCTTCATATTAATAGCTGTATATTTACATCATTTGATTAATAATAATAAGATTGAAAAAATAAAGTTTAGAAATGGATAAATAACAATACAACAGTTTTTTCATTATAATTTAGAAATCTGAAATTTTAATTGTTTTGAATCAGCTTGATCCAGTAAAAACATATTTAAACTAAAAAAATTTATTATTTTCACAGGAAATCTAGTTTATATTTTGTCTAAAAAATTTTTAAATTATAAAAATTAAATAGGTTAAAAGTTTAAAAATATCAGCATTTAAAATATTAAAGAATGAAATAATATTTTCCTTGTGCTTTAATGTCAAAATCACTTAACAGTTTCTATAAATGCTAGTTGTTGTGTACTTTGGATTTGAAGACTTGTTAAATTGAAGCAAAGTATTGTTATCAGCTCTTGTATTAATTAATGAGCTTTGTGCCCTTCCATTGCTATTATCCCATTAGGTTGTTGTCTTCATTGTATTGAAATCCAAAATATATTAGCCTAGTGTGTTGCTTTTATTGTGGTATAGATTTTAAAATGTAGAACTTAAAGATATTTATTAAATATATAATTGGATGATGATATTTTATTCATAATTTTATATAAATCCTCTTTGTTCTTAATCAAGTGATACTTTTTCATATTATTTTTATTTGTTATATTGTGTTATTAATTTCATAATTATAAAATACTTTATTTTGAAAATTTTGGTTTAGTTTAGTTTTCTTTTTTAATTTGTATAATAATATAGGCTAAAATAGAATATTTGTAAAAGGTTACAAGCATTTATGAAAGAGAGAAATAGATAAAATTAAGTTAGTTAATATATAACAACAGTCATATGATGAAAATTTATTAAGAGACAGGTGAATTGATATAAACAAATGCTTCTAATTATGAAGACAGATGCTGCATATAAAATATGATAAGAATAAGTTTATTGGGGTTAGTGTAGACACAAATGACTGCTTATATGAACATCAATAAATAGTTCACTTACCTAGAACATGAACTAGTTAGAAGAAAATTTCCTTCTTGGTTCTGCTTTCCTTTATGTTGATAGATAATTAAGATGAGAAAAAATATTTTTGAAGTCAGCATTGAAAGATGAAATTTTGAACAAAAATCATTATTCTTAATACTTGAATTATAGACAAAAGCAAACAAAATGTATTCTATTCTTCAACAGCAGTAAATGAATTTCAAAAATGTTTTGAATTTTATAGTAATAAATTCTAGTGTAATAGATTTGACTGATTTAAAGAAACAAAAATAAATCAATATAAATGACATATTGATAACAATTTCATTTAAGATATTTATTTCTTAATATAATTTTCTGCANAAAAATGTTTTGAATTTTATAGTAATAAATTCTAGTGTAATAGATTTGACTGATTTAAAGAAACAAAAATAAATCAATATAAATGACATATTGATAACAATTTCATTATGATTTTAATTAAGTTTAATATTGAAAATTAATATAAAGAAAATATACAGTACTTCATATGAAAATATTGTTTAATAAAATATTGATTCTTTGGTACAAATTTTAATCTAATTTATAATTAGATTAAAATTTGAGGTTTTGAAAAAATTTTAGCTTTTTTTTTTATTAATAATAATTATAAATAATTTTTTACAGATTACTCATATATTATGTGGAGTGGAATTTCAAGTTATTTATTTAGGAGTGAAAAAGAAATAGATAATGATAATGAATTTGTATTTAATACTGTTGAAGATGATGAAGAATGGTTATATGTGGAAGTCAGAGGTATTTAGTTTTAAAATTATATTTTAAAACTAAATAGCATTATAATAAATTAATACAATCAATCATTACAATTAAAAATATTGTATTATAATATGGAGTTAGCCTTTGCTTATTATATTATTCAGATTTTTTTTAAATTGAGTTTTTTGAGTATTAATAATTTTTCTAATTTATTTTTAGATTTTTCTAAGATTTATTATTATTCATTAATTATATGATTTAATAATAGATTATTTATTAAGATTATCAAAACTTTTGTATGAAACAATATAATAAATTATCAGTAATTATAATTCAGCTTCTTATAAGGAAGTTTTTACAAATTATATCAATGTGATTGCAATTTTTATGGTCTAAGAGCCAATCGATTTAATGCAAGAATTCTGTATGCTATGCAATAATAAAAAAAATAAAATCAAAATTAAGCTATATAAAATTTACATACCTTTTGGAAAAGTATTAATTATAAAAACTATTATAATTCTTATTTGAATTTTTAATTTAATAAGTGTTTGCATGGATGCTTAGATGTCAAGTTTTAGTTCTGATGAAACACTACATATAAACCCAATATCCAACAGGAACTACAGAAATCTACATTTTGTAGTTCCTGCTAGATATTCATTTTATATATATCCACTTAATTACATATACTCTGTTTGTCTTTGAATTTAGTTCTGATGTATAAGAAAAGAATTACCTTTTTATTGAATGAATTATTTTGCAACTTTGTGAAAAAGTAATAGAATATATGTTATATTATGAAATATTTTGGCTTTAATATAATATCATTCCTAGCCAAATTCTGAATTAGAGTGAAAAAATCTTAAAGCAAAATTTTTGTGAAATTTGTGCTCAAAATCACCTTAAGTTAGACTATACAACATAGAATAATATCATTGTGTTGCAATTTGAAAAAATTGTAGACTTATAAATTCCCGCTATTGTTCATCTGCCTGTCTATCTTTCCTTAATCTCAAAAACAGAGAAAGATAGATGAAAGATGAGACCAGATGTGGAGACCATAAGGGCAGAAGTCCCTGATTAAATATATATGAACTTCCAATGTAAACTGGAAGTCTTGTTATTTCAATTCAAAAATTTTCCCATGAAAGATGTTAGATAGATGACTGGCATGACTCTATTGTTAAAGGAAATATATGATCCACAGGGGCAAGCCACTACTAATTTGAGGTGGAGAGCATATATTTTAAGTTAAATAAATGAAAAATATTATTAAAAATTTCATCCTGGCATTGTGACAATGTCATAACAAATAATTGCTTATTGTATTTAATATACATCTTCTGTAAATGAATCTGTTTGTTTTTTTTTTAATTTTATTATTTTCCCTATAATGTCGATAATGCTTCAATGGTCTTCAAGGTGTATGCAATTAAAAATTTTTTTTGATTTTATATCTCTAGAAAGATTTTTACAAAGAACTGCTAAAAAGTTCTTTTTATTTTTTATTTATTTTATTTATTTCTCAAAAGACACTGNGCAAGCATAATACTCAACTGCTTAGTACACACTAACTTAAAGATACATGAAACTACAAGCATTTAACTTTATACCAGTGACAAATCCTGCATGAACGAATGTGAAGAGTAGTCTACAAGGCCACATGACGATGGATAAGAGTTAATAAATAAAGCATTCATCACTAAGAAAATTGAAATACAGGTATCCATAATTCAATTCTTCTAGTGACGAATGTTATATAATGCATATATTTAAACACTAAATTATTTGGTACTTAATTAATAGTTATATAATGCCCTATGATGACCAAGACAAAACCTTTCTCACTTGTTTCTAGCCGTTTATACACGAGTATGAATATTTTCAGCCTTCTTCAGATACACTGTATAAACATGTATAAACAGCTAGAAACAAGCGAGAAAAGTTTTGTCTTGGTCATCTTAAAATAGTTCTAGCTCCAAATGCATAGAAGTATAATGCCCTATGAAAAAACTTTATAGAATACTTTATAAAAAGAATACGATACTATTAGCACATCATTTAAATGCAAGTAGTGAAACTCCATCGACATTTTCAAATAAATAAATACAGTATAAACATTAATTTTCACTTAAATGTACCAGTAAAATTAAAATTATACATTTAACGAAAACAAATAAACAAAAAATTGCTTAATTTTGTAAACTAAATAAAATTAATTGAATAACGATTTTGGATTTATTTCAAATCATCCTTAGCTTGCAATTTAGATTTATAATAATATGGTAAAAAAAAAAACCAAAAATTAATTCATTGCATGTATAATCTAAGTTTTCCCTATAACCGTGTTGTAACATTGCTCAGTATTATTATTGCTTGACTTTAAAATAGAAAAATCATTAATTAAAAAATTTTGCTTATTTTGAATTTCTTGAGTAAGATTTTGATTTCAATTCTCAAATTTCTATTGAAACAACTCATAAAATGCTGTTTACTAACTTTCAAAAAACCAATAGGCCTAAATTGTAATATTTCTAATTTGTAATAGGCCTAATATCCTGTGTTTCTACCTTCCAATGAACTGTGCTTCTACATAATAAAAGCTGAATAAATTCAAAAACCATACTAATGATTATTTATGCATTTAAAACATCAAAATAACTTTTAATGTAATTTAATAAACCATTCATATGGTGAAAGAGTGAATACTTGAGTTTAAAAGTAAACATTCTTCTTATATAATGTTGTTGTTATCAAGTTACAAAATTATATTAAGCCTGACTATATATATATAATTACCTTTTATGTAATTTATTCTTATAATTTAAAGCCGAATTTTAATAGTAATAATAGTAAATAAAAAAAATTGCAATTAATGTTTAGTCTTCCCTGTTTTCGTAATTCATGACGTCTATTACATGTATTATTAAAAGTGATCAAAATAGTTATTTGTTTCATTGTATTTATTTTATCCTTCCGGCTTTAAATTATTTTATTAAAACCGATTTATTTTTTTAATTTACGAAAAGAATAAAAATTACTTATTGCAAAATAAACAGCTAAACAATGACGCAATTTTTTTCATAACATCACGTGGTCGAGTTGACTCATCATCCCCAATCTTATATTATCTCGTGTCAAATGACGTAATCGAAATTGACGTAATACTCTATTAGATAAAACGTAACTACTTGTTTACAGTATTTACATATATATAATTTTTTTATATTTTTATTTTAAAAAATTTTTAAGATATTTATTTCTTAATATAATTTTCTGCATATTTTATTCGATAAAAGAATATTTAATATTTTGAAGTTAATTTCCGCAAAAATTCTATTGTTTAAAAAGTAATAATAAAAAACAAAATGACGCAAACAGCTGAGTTGAAAACTTGTTTTCCTATTTGTTGCCAGATTGTGACGTCATAAACCAAGACCAGCTAAAACAAGTCAACAAAAGAACATAAACAAAATCGTAGTTGACAATTAAAACTTTATTTTCTCTTGAAAAGTTACTGTTTTGGTTTATGTTAAATATCTTTGTTATTAAATTAAGCATCTAAGTTGTTTATATTTCATCCAATTTATTTATTAAAAGGTAAGTTTATTGTCATATATAAAATTTCAATTGATAAATGATTTTTTGTGGTATATAAAATTTCCAGTTATTAAATAATGCATATAATTTAATTTTAAATTTAATTCTTGTCTTCTTCAAATACATCAAGTAAAAATTTTAAAATTTTTATTAAGAATTGATGTGAATTTATATTTATGTATTTAATCATTTTTGAATGAATATTTTTGACTTTACACTAGTTTATTTAGTTGGGAGCAATAAAGAAACCTGTTGTTGAATTTTTTGTATTGTTACAATATTCCAATTATTATTATGTCAATAAAATGTAAGACGCAAAAACCATTACTATTGCAGCAGTTTATAAAATACACTTATCGCAACAAAACTGTCAAAATATTCTTTATCAGATTTGATAACGCTTCTTTATTTATTTTTTTTTTATTCTTTGATACTTTTTCAATCAATAATTTTTGTAAAAAAAACACATATCTTTTTTAATATATTAAATAATATAAGGTATAAGGATATATTTTTCTTTTATATATCCTATTGTAACTTTTGTAACTGAGATTCCATTAGCTAATAACAAAGGAAAGCATCAAAAACAGTAATGTATAAACTTTGTTTCAATGCCGTGATTATTTAATAATTAATATAAATTCCAGATATGTACAGTACAGTACTTTGCTTCAAGTTTACTTTTAGAAGGAAAAAACAGCATAACTATTTTTTTTTAAACAAAGTTTTTAAATGTTTAAAATTTCTATATTTGTTCATTACTGGTTAAAAATGTTAAATTGTGTGATTTATTTTATTGTAAATGAAAAAATGCTTCATATTAATAGCTGTATATTTACATCATTTGATTAATAATAATAAGATTGAAAAAATAAAGTTTAGAAATGGATAAATAACAATACAACAGTTTTTTCATTATAATTTAGAAATCTGAAATTTTAATTGTTTTGAATCAGCTTGATCCAGTAAAAACATATTTAAACTAAAAAAATTTATTATTTTCACAGGAAATCTAGTTTATATTTTGTCTAAAAAATTTTTAAATTATAAAAATTAAATAGGTTAAAAGTTTAAAAATATCAGCATTTAAAATATTAAAGAATGAAATAATATTTTCCTTGTGCTTTAATGTCAAAATCACTTAACAGTTTCTATAAATGCTAGTTGTTGTGTACTTTGGATTTGAAGACTTGTTAAATTGAAGCAAAGTATTGTTATCAGCTCTTGTATTAATTAATGAGCTTTGTGCCCTTCCATTGCTATTATCCCATTAGGTTGTTGTCTTCATTGTATTGAAATCCAAAATATATTAGCCTAGTGTGTTGCTTTTATTGTGGTATAGATTTTAAAATGTAGAACTTAAAGATATTTATTAAATATATAATTGGATGATGATATTTTATTCATAATTTTATATAAATCCTCTTTGTTCTTAATCAAGTGATACTTTTTCATATTATTTTTATTTGTTATATTGTGTTATTAATTTCATAATTATAAAATACTTTATTTTGAAAATTTTGGTTTAGTTTAGTTTTCTTTTTTAATTTGTATAATAATATAGGCTAAAATAGAATATTTGTAAAAGGTTACAAGCATTTATGAAAGAGAGAAATAGATAAAATTAAGTTAGTTAATATATAACAACAGTCATATGATGAAAATTTATTAAGAGACAGGTGAATTGATATAAACAAATGCTTCTAATTATGAAGACAGATGCTGCATATAAAATATGATAAGAATAAGTTTATTGGGGTTAGTGTAGACACAAATGACTGCTTATATGAACATCAATAAATAGTTCACTTACCTAGAACATGAACTAGTTAGAAGAAAATTTCCTTCTTGGTTCTGCTTTCCTTTATGTTGATAGATAATTAAGATGAGAAAAAATATTTTTGAAGTCAGCATTGAAAGATGAAATTTTGAACAAAAATCATTATTCTTAATACTTGAATTATAGACAAAAGCAAACAAAATGTATTCTATTCTTCAACAGCAGTAAATGAATTTCAAAAATGTTTTGAATTTTATAGTAATAAATTCTAGTGTAATAGATTTGACTGATTTAAAGAAACAAAAATAAATCAATATAAATGACATATTGATAACAATTTCATTATGATTTTAATTAAGTTTAATATTGAAAATTAATATAAAGAAAATATACAGTACTTCATATGAAAATATTGTTTAATAAAATATTGATTCTTTGGTACAAATTTTAATCTAATTTATAATTAGATTAAAATTTGAGGTTTTGAAAAAATTTTAGCTTTTTTTTTTATTAATAATAATTATAAATAATTTTTTACAGATTACTCATATATTATGTGGAGTGGAATTTCAAGTTATTTATTTAGGAGTGAAAAAGAAATAGATAATGATAATGAATTTGTATTTAATACTGTTGAAGATGATGAAGAATGGTTATATGTGGAAGTCAGAGGTATTTAGTTTTAAAATTATATTTTAAAACTAAATAGCATTATAATAAATTAATACAATCAATCATTACAATTAAAAATATTGTATTATAATATGGAGTTAGCCTTTGCTTATTATATTATTCAGATTTTTTTTAAATTGAGTTTTTTGAGTATTAATAATTTTTCTAATTTATTTTTAGATTTTTCTAAGATTTATTATTATTCATTAATTATATGATTTAATAATAGATTATTTATTAAGATTATCAAAACTTTTGTATGAAACAATATAATAAATTATCAGTAATTATAATTCAGCTTCTTATAAGGAAGTTTTTACAAATTATATCAATGTGATTGCAATTTTTATGGTCTAAGAGCCAATCGATTTAATGCAAGAATTCTGTATGCTATGCAATAATAAAAAAAATAAAATCAAAATTAAGCTATATAAAATTTACATACCTTTTGGAAAAGTATTAATTATAAAAACTATTATAATTCTTATTTGAATTTTTAATTTAATAAGTGTTTGCATGGATGCTTAGATGTCAAGTTTTAGTTCTGATGAAACACTACATATAAACCCAATATCCAACAGGAACTACAGAAATCTACATTTTGTAGTTCCTGCTAGATATTCATTTTATATATATCCACTTAATTACATATACTCTGTTTGTCTTTGAATTTAGTTCTGATGTATAAGAAAAGAATTACCTTTTTATTGAATGAATTATTTTGCAACTTTGTGAAAAAGTAATAGAATATATGTTATATTATGAAATATTTTGGCTTTAATATAATATCATTCCTAGCCAAATTCTGAATTAGAGTGAAAAAATCTTAAAGCAAAATTTTTGTGAAATTTGTGCTCAAAATCACCTTAAGTTAGACTATACAACATAGAATAATATCATTGTGTTGCAATTTGAAAAAATTGTAGACTTATAAATTCCCGCTATTGTTCATCTGCCTGTCTATCTTTCCTTAATCTCAAAAACAGAGAAAGATAGATGAAAGATGAGACCAGATGTGGAGACCATAAGGGCAGAAGTCCCTGATTAAATATATATGAACTTCCAATGTAAACTGGAAGTCTTGTTATTTCAATTCAAAAATTTTCCCATGAAAGATGTTAGATAGATGACTGGCATGACTCTATTGTTAAAGGAAATATATGATCCACAGGGGCAAGCCACTACTAATTTGAGGTGGAGAGCATATATTTTAAGTTAAATAAATGAAAAATATTATTAAAAATTTCATCCTGGCATTGTGACAATGTCATAACAAATAATTGCTTATTGTATTTAATATACATCTTCTGTAAATGAATCTGTTTGTTTTTTTTTTAATTTTATTATTTTCCCTATAATGTCAATAATGCTTCAATGGTCTTCAAGGTGTATGCAATTAAAAATTTTTTTTGATTTTATATCTCTAGAAAGATTTTTACAAAGAACTGCTAAAAAGTTCTTTTTATTTTTTATTTATTTTATTTATTTCTCAAAAGACACTGTGGCCAAGTTGTCCTTTTACAAGCATCTTACAGTAAATCAACAAAACCACTAAAAGAACATTAATAGTTAATTCTAAATTATTTAATAAAGATATAAATGTTTAAAGCTATAATTTAACTGTACTGTATTATAAATTTTCCCTGAAAACTTTTAATTTAAATATTAACTAAGAAATTAAGAAAAATTAATATAAACTAAAAATTGAACATCATATTATGATACTATATAAATTCACACCTAATGAAAATAAAAAAATGATTTACTATTTTTATCTTAATTTTTAATGTACAAAAATGAGTAATATCTTTCTATATCAAAATTATTTATTATGTATTAGAACAAATTGAAACTGATTTTCTTTTTGAAAGTATGGTACTAATAAATTTTAAAATTTATATCACTATAAAGAACTTATAAATGAATCTGTGTCCAAAAAATATTTTCTTGGAAATATGCCTTATTTGACTTTTAGTGTGCAGAGAAAATGTCTGCTGCTTGCCTATGACAAAATACAGGTTGATTTCTGACAAGCAGTACATTATTAGTGTATTATAAACGACTCAACTGACCAGATACTATGGTACGAATAACTCTTTAATAATACAACTAAACACTTCTACATCCAGCTGGTTACTTCGAGCTATCTCGCTCGCTTTCTCTCCCGCCACCTCGGCACCTCTCGATTACATTTCCTTTGTTTTAAATTGTCAACATATATTATATTACATTTAATGTTTATCTAAATCTTCAACATATATTACAATTAGCTTTCACTGATGCTGAAATCTGGCTAAGTCATTTCAATCCTGAGAACAAACAAACCAGCACAATATAGTAGTTACCATCTCCCTCTCAAACAAAAAGAGTTGCTCTACTAGTTTGGCAAGGTCTTCACTTTCTTTTTGATTTCCAAGGATTAGTGTACCATCATGTTGTATCACTATATGCAACAATCATTTTGACAGTACTACCTGCAGTTCTGCAAACACTGTTTAATTATTCATACATCTGCAGAAAATAAACCATTCTCCATGCAAATGCTGGTTGTTAGCTGCATCATCACAATGTATAGTGCTAATGTGGTGACTGAGTTTTGGCTATAAAAAACATCTTAAAAGTCCCACATCCATATAGCTTGTTTGGTACTTAGTGACTTTTTCCATTCCCAGCCATGAAGTCAAAATTACAGGAAACAATTTCCTATCTAAAGCAGCAGTGGTCAAAGCATCAGAAGCAATTTTGAAGAACATCTCAAAGGATGGATTTATTATATGTCTTCAAGGATTGGCAAAAATGGCAAAAATTATGATGGAAATGAATTGAATATCATGGGGAATATTTTAAGAAACACCACTGTTGCTACTTCCTAGTGGTTATCATGTGAGGAAAAAAATTAGTTTTGTTTCAACTTGCCATCAGACATTTAATGTTTTAATAGAAAATTCAAATATTACAAAAATATCATTTGTAGTGTTAATTTCTAATTTTTGAAAATTATTTGAAAAACTAATTTATATAAGAATTATTTTTTTTGATTTTAAAAGATTAATAAAATGATCAAAAATCAATTTGAATTTAGGCAATTAACTTCCGAAAAATATGCATTAATTAGTTATTATCTATATAATTAATAACCATAATTTTAGTGACATTATTGATTTTTGCATCTAATTGATTACTATTAAACATTTTAATTTATTCAAGATCAAAGTATTAATAATCATCCATAATTTCAATTTTGTCGTTTGTACTGGTTTAGGATTTATAATGTTATAGATTTCATTTGAGGTAGTAAATTTATCAGTTTTTTCCTATATCATTTTGAAAGAACATTAATAGTTAATTCTAAATTATTTAATAAAGATATAAATGTTTAAATCCCAATATATATAAATTTTAGTAACTTGAATTTAAAGTAAAAAAGAGCATGTATATTCTTATAAGAAAGTTTAAGATTAAAACTAAGTGAAAATTTTTTTCTTTGCAATTTAATGTAAACAATGATGATAGATTGATAACTCATAAAGAAAATGTGTACAATGATAAAAACATACAGAAAGATTATTTTGTTTCAAATTAATGTTTTTATCTTATTTTATATTAGACATGGGCAAATGTGGCTCTTGCTAAAAGTGTTAATTTCTGCTTTTTATTTTTATTTTTACAATTTTATTTCCACAATTTTGTGAAAATATGTTTATTAAAAAAATTCAATATTTGTTGTATATAATATTTATATTATATAATAAAATCGCGGTACAGAACTGCAGTACAGAATAAAAAAGTACAGAACTGTGGCTCCCATGCATTTTGCAAAACCTACATTTCGGTTCCCACTGAACTCTTGCTTGCCCACCACTGGTATAGAATTTTAACCAATGAAATTGTAAAATTTTCGAAAATACAGAGTACGGAATTATAGATCATGTGGCAATGAAAGCACAAGTTCAAATAAAGCATGCAATTTTGACAAAGATATGTTTTTTTGTTTTCTATTTCGGCTCCCACTTAACTCTTTCTTGCCCACTCCTGTTATATACAGTCAACAGGATTTCTAAATTTATCTCTTAATTTAAAGAGAATTCAGTTAAATGGGATTTGTTTTTCTTTATGCCACATTATACATAACATTGTTTTTAACAAGTAAAGAAAATATTTGAAAATTATTTTGCTGAATCAGATTTGATATATAATTCTAAAACTAGATATTTTTTTTATGTAAGTACCTTGTCTTGAATTTTAATATGTACATTATTTTATTTAACTATTATTATTCAAAAATTAAAATGTGCTGATAAAATATACAATGAAAATTGAACTGTGGTTTGTAAATTTATGATATAATTTTTTTTTCATTGTTTGAATAAAATTATTTTTTTCAGCTAAAATAATGTAGAAAATATGGCAACTTTTTGTGAAGCAATCGTTTTAAGATTTTATCAAATTTCTGCAGAAAATTGAAAAAACTTGTATATAAAATGATGCATATAAAACAAAACTTGAAATTCATAATGGTTAAATTCAATGAATCAAGTACATTGTCTATAAAAATATTTTGGCAGCCATTGCTTTTCTATTTATAATCAATACATTGTGATTGCTGGCAGATTTTTTTCTTTTTATGAATGTTGATGTAGACATGACTGATTCTTATTCTAGACATTATTATTTGTACAAGTATGAAATAGTGATTATTTTGAAGAAATGCTTTCTTTAAAAAAATAATAATAATAGTTGCTTTCTTTGAAAACTGGTTGATTTTATTTAAAATTTATATTTTTAACTTTTCAAATCTTTTGTGTCTGGCTTAGCATATGGCATAATATAAAACAGTTTTTACTAAATAAGCATTTAAATTTTACTTTAAATAATTTTTATGTTCTAGGCCAAAAAATTTACAACAAAATTATCCATTTAACTAATACTTGGAATTTGTTACAAAATATTTTGATGCTGGGTAGTTATAACATTTTTAATGTTTTCTTTGTATACTTTTCTTATTAGCAACCATAACTACTATTAGATTCTGATTTTTCAAACATTTTTATTAATTTGCTATCTTCTTAGAAGAAATATTTTAAATATTTGTATTTTAAAGACACTTAAACATAATACATATAAAATCTAAATATTAAGGCCTTAAACCTANTATATTTATGTTAATTATATAAAAAATTTTATAATAATTGTTTCTTTTTTTTAATAATTTTTATTTTTAGATTTGAAACCAAAAGAAAAGACAAAATCACAGAACGATACACCAAATTCATATTTATTACTACCAGATGTCGTCTTACAGACAAATGATACAAAGCAAAAAAATCCAATTTCAAATGAAATGGATGAAAGCTGGTATATAACACCACCATCCTGTTTTACTATTGATTCTCCTGTGCCTTTAGAGACTTCTCCATTAGAAAATCTTCTGATTGAACATCCTAGTATGAGTGTATATGGATCAAAACTTCCATCTTCTTTCAAAAACTATTTTTGCCAAAATGTCAAAATGAAATCAAATAATAAAGATGAAATTGATAAGAAGTTAAAAAAAAATGAGCACAATAAAGTCTACTCCAAATGTAGTCATATGCCAAATGAAGAAAATTATCATATTAAACAAGGAATGCCCTATGTGTCAAATAAAACAAGAACAGGTATGTAAATAGATAAATGTATATTTGATTTAAATTTTTTCTAACTTTATTCAAAATAACTTAAACAGTAACACATCAAAATAATTGCAAAATGCAGTTATTTTGATTTATGATTGTTTAAAATTTGCATATTTATCATTAGGGGCCGTCCATAAATTACGTAAGGTATTTTGGGGTAAGTGGGGGTCAAGGATTTCTTAAAATTTCATACTCGGGTAGGGGGGTAATAGATCTTGTCTTACGTAATATTCTTATTTTTATTTTTTGATCTCATTGAGTGGTGGCGTTTTGAATTTGGCTTCAGTTTGGTGGTTTCTATTAAGAATGCTTGTTGTCTTGTGTGACATGATAGAGTAATAACACTGGCTGATTCACGCTCTACACATTTTTTTGACATGGGAGAAAGACCATGTGGTGGTTTCTCTCTCTTGTTTTTTATTAGAATAAGTGCACCACTCCTCTGAGTGTATAACACTAAGAATACATAAACCAAAATACATGATACAAAGGAAACATAAAATTAGTATTTGGCTTTTAGTGAAAACTAAAATGTGAAACTAGAAATTAGTCTTTTTGTCCATTTTTTTGAACATAATTGTAAAAAGCATCAAACAGTGGTTTCTGAACAAGCTTATTGAGTGGACATGGCCACCTGAAACCAAGCATAAAAATTTCTAATTTCAGAATAAGTCTATCTTGATCGTAAATTGGACAGTGATAGATCATATGGTCGACAGCGTCTAGGTTTTCTGTAGAGCAAAAGCAAGAAGCAGTTTCTGCCCGGTTATACATTGCTAGGTAGCTTCTAAAATTACCATGCTCAGTAAGTAGTTGAGCAGTAGCAAACATTAAATCTCTAAGTAGTGATGAGAACTACTAAATTCAACACTAGGAAAATAGTCTTGTTATTCTACCAGTTTTACTGCTCAACTACTTTTACTGATTTCACTTTTGCACAGTGTTGTCATGAATATAATTTTTAAGACTGTTACATGAGAGAGTGATGTGAGTGTAGTCCAAATCAGTGTCCGTTGCAGCTGACTTAGCCTCAAAGTCGGCTTTTTCATTTCCTAGCATTCCAGTATGGCCAGAAACAAATATAAAAGTTATCTTATTTACAAGATTTTTAATATGGTGCTAGATATATGTGATTTTATTGCTATTGAAATTGGGATTTAATACAGCTTTTGAGACAGACTGAGAATCACTGTAAATGTTGATAGACAGAGTTTTGTTTGGTAGTAAGTTGCCCACTGAACAGCTTAGTAGTCAGCATCTTCTTCAGCTTGATAGATGGAGGTATGTGGAAGGTATCTGTACCTTCTAACATACTTTTGGCAAAATATGTCAGTTTGGAGGAAGATACAGATACTTGAGCCGACAAGAAGGGAGCTTTTGGATCCATCTGTGTAGATATTAATGTTTGCATGATTATCCATGGAGGAAGCAGATGACACCAAATAACATGGTTTACAGGATTATGATCAGAGATAGTAGGGAAATTGCAATGTGGTTGCATATGAACAGCCGTAGATAGGAGTAGAAACTATTGTTGAGCCTTGACGTTTGTAGTTATGATGTAGTAGTTTAGAACTTTTTCTACAATACATAGTGGCAAAGGAAGGAGCTCTGCTAGTATCAGAGAAGTAAAAACAGTTCTGCAGCACTTTGAAATTCTGATGGCAAACTGGCTTTAAAGAGAGAGTAATTTACTTGCTACTGAATTTTTACTAGTTACATGACCACAGCTCAGAGGTTATGTAAAATAGCATTGGTTGTATTGCCCCATTATATAGAGTTTTATAAGCTTTATGATTTAGTCCCCAGGTGCACCTAGTACATTTTAGCTGCATGTAGTTTATTTTCTTGGCCTTAGCCAACATGTAATCAATATGGTAATGGAATGTGGTTTCTCTCTATTCTCTTGTTTTATTTTGTATGACATTTCTGTTTACACGTGCACTAGCTAGTTGATCTGGCAAAGTTTTTTGTGTCATTTGTGAAAACTAAAATTAATATAAAAATAAATATTATGACGTTGATTAATGATGATAATAATAATATTGTTAATAATTATTATTATTATTAATAATTAAAAAATAAAGTTCTTAAAATAAATTGTTCATTCGAATTCATTAAATTTTTATATTTTTAAATTTGTTCACAAAAAGTCTTTTATAAATAATAATACATATTAATTAACTAATTAATAATTATATATTTTGGACCTAAGGTTTTTAGGGTTTTCATAAAAAAACTTTGTTTGGTTAAAATCTTTCTATAAAATCATGCCAAAATATTACGTAAGATAGGGAGGGGAATCAAAGAAAATATTACGGTTTCTTACACATGGGTGGGTGGGGGTCTAGAATGGCTGAAATCGCCCTTACGTAATTTATGGATGAGCCCTTACATAGAAGGATATTATTAGAGACTATATTTTTCAGATTAAATTCAGTATATGAAATGTAATTTTATATCATTTATCATATCATATAATATGTTTTGAACGATATTATAATTTTGAATATAATTTAATTTAACTACTTCTCTAAATTGTTGCAAATATTTATGAATAATTTAGTAAGATAAAATGAAGATCAACTGAAGAGGAAATATATATTTTATCAAAGAAATAAGAGATGATGATTATAATAAATCATTATATTTTTCTTAAAAATTTGCATTGCATTTTTACATTGAATGTATGCTTTTTCACAATATTTTATTGTTATGGATTATTAGATGATGATCTTTAATATAGAACTAATATAAATGTATAGTTTTAGAATGTTTTTCATGCATGGCTTTGAATTAGATAAATATTTTATTGGTAGAGTAATGTGTTCTCCAGGCATAAGTATAAAATAATCTAAAGTATATGAAAACATTTATTCTGAATCTTTGAAGTATGACAATTACAAATATCTATATATGTTACGTGTGTCAATAGACAAATGTTTAATATGTAATTAGATATATAAGGTAATATTGTTTGTCTTGTATCAACTGGATTAATCTCTTCATGTTTAAAATTGTTGTGACCCGTGAGCTAGACCTAAGTCTACTGGTCTACAAATAATAACAAGTTGACTTACAGAAATGGATTTATTTATAACAATTGCTCAGCAAACAAAGGCTCATATGACCTCCTCTACGAAGTTCCTTTTCTTTCTCATGTTCAGAGTACAAATAGCATACTACCTACCCTCTCTGTCCCCCTATGTTAACGCATGACAAAGTTTACACAAAAATTTTAATTAACAAGGAAAGTTCAGTGAGAACCATGAACTCATAGTAGTTCTGAACTTGAACAAGGACGTCAAACCGACAGTACCATGTGTGAAGACAAAATAATTGCTTATGATGATACCTCATACACTTATACTTCCTTTCTGAATTCCTTCACTCCATTGTTTGCTAAACCGCCTCGGATGGAATTGGATATTAGTCCTTAGCCTTTCTCTTATGTTTTGGTCGGTTTCCTCCTTCCTCATACATGTGACTTCTTGATATCCTGATGATCGCACCAACCAAGACAAATGGATGAAGAAAAAGAAATGTCCCTTTCCACCTCTGGATCTTCTATTTATACCCCATATCTTGCTGTCCCCACATGACCTTTTTAACAACCAATCAACAAGCCCCTTTACACACACCTCTAAATAGGTGGTTTGGAAAGAGAAAGTCACATGTCAACCACGAACAACAAAAAAAAGCAGACAAAAAAAAAGGAAAACCCAATACAATAATAAAACTAACGCAAAGCTATGTACAAATAATATATAATATATATGTATACATACAAACTAACAACAACCAATAAGTGTTGGAGCACTACAAAATGAAACTGTCAATAACTTCTCCATATAACATTAATTACTCCTGTTGCAGTACACATTTCAGATTATAACAAAGTTCTGAGTGAGAACTGTGATTTATCAATATGCTTTCCTTTAGCCTCCTAGACATACTCTATCAGATTTTGATTAGAAATATTGCTGACCATTTTATACAAGCCATATTTCCAGGCAGATTCTATGTGGAAATGTGTTATCATCCATTAAGAAAAGTCAAAGCACTTTCAGACAGATGGATTGGAGGTTGTAAGATTTCATCCTGACAACGTAAATCACAGACAGATTCTTCAGAGCATAGAGATCTGTATGGCCATACCACACATGACTATTATGTATCCTTATAGCATCATTTTCTCCACAAATGTCTCTTTCAATGATGATAGAAGGATGAAAACTGGTTTCCTTTCTCTTTAGGTCTCTGTCTTGAATATGGATTTAGAGCCTAAATTTGAAATTAACTTGAAAACTAGCCCATTACTCAGAACTTTACTTCTGACTGAATACTTCTGCTTTTACTTCTTACTTCTTCCTGGTTGTTATAATAAGATTGGAAAGTATTGTAATAGTGTAATAAATATCATCATCTGGATTTTTTGCAAATCTTAACATTTTGAGATCCCAAACCCTAAAAAGTAAAAAGAAAAAATGCCAAAAAAATTTCCTGTGTGTGCATGCTTGCATGTTGTCATCTACCCCATCCTGAGATATTAAATGAAATAAAGATTAAGAAACAAAGTTTGGCATGGTAACTTGTATTTAAGAGGCATTGATGCTATTAAATTTTGATGATTGGGTCAAGGGGTGGAGAGAGAAAGAGGTGAATCATGTGTCATATCTCAAGTGAGGTCAAATTTAATGAAAATTTACTCATTATTAGCATTTTATAATATTTTTAAAAACTCATTTATACCCTCAAAACTTCCATAAATTTTTATGATAGTAGTCTCTATTAGTAACAAGCCAATTATTATTTAAATATCGTTAGAAACATATGAAACATTGTTTTTTCAGAAAAATTATTATTTATTATTATTATTAATTATTATTTATAAAATTAAAATTACAAATATAAATGTATAAGTTAAAAATTCAGAATAACTTAATTTTTTTTTAACATATGCATATATGAAAATAAACTGA